AGCTAATCGTACCACCTTCAGATTGTCATCTTCTTGCTTTAAAAATATAACGTTTTGTTTTTTTTTCACTTCAAAGTTGTACCATACTTCTAAATTTGCAGTGTGGTTAAAAAAGGTTTCTGTAGAGAACAAGCTGAGTGATCACTGAGAACTGACAATCTGCCAAATGTTCACTTAGACGAATAAAGATTATGTCCACTGTATAGTAATTTAAATGGACGGAAATTAATGTGCTTTTAAGGTGTCTCCTCTTCTGGAAGATGCCACCTAACAATCTGAAGATTGCTAGTATGAATCAAGTTAGCAAAAACTACTTCAGTTGGCATCAAGTATCTAATATACTCAATAGCACAGTAATTCAGTTGCACTGATTTTTTTTTTTTTGCTGAAGTCTGTGACTTTGCTGCACAATGAATGACAACTCGATATAATTTCCTGGTCTCTGATTTCTTGCTCTTAAACCCTTGCTTTGTCTTGTTTCCTGTCTTCCACTTAACCCCCTTTAACTGTCCGCTCCAGTTATTCCATATCTGGGTTTCTCCACAGCTGGGTACAGCCTTTCACACTCTCTGTGAGTGTTAGCTGGACTCTAGAACCAAGTCTTGGTGACCATTTACTGTATAATTTGTTATTTCTATAATTTTTACCGTTTTAATTTACAGGGAGTCTTCGGGTTACGACACATTTCTATTCTGTTCTGGGCCAGTGATGTAACCCGAATTTTGGTGTAATCCGAAACACACCCTTTTTCTGGTAAGCCTACTGGGGGACCCCAACTCCCTCACTCATAAGCCACATTACTGCATATTCTTCCACCTCACACAACCAAACTAGTTCGCTCATATAGTCCGTAAGTACTACGCTAACAGCGTAGGCTGAAACACTCACCTCTCAATTTTTAAATGTTTTTATGGGAGTGAGCGTCGTAAACTGGAAAAGCCGTATGTCGAGACGACGTAACCCGAGGACCCCCACCTGTAAATAAAAACATGGAATTGCTCTGAAATGTTCCGCTTCAGTGCAACCCTCAGATCTGGTCCATTCCTTAGTAACATTAAATACATTTCAGAAATCAAAATTGTTGCTTAACATTTCACAGCATCAAGGATTCAATGAACAATTCAGCTTAGAAAAGGAAAGTTTTAGAGGTGGAATTGTCCACCATCCAAAAGACATATAATTAACAGTAGGCCAGAGATCAAAGGCATCTCACTGATGACATGTGAAGTTGAAAGGAGGCTGACATAAACTGAACAAATCACAAGAAAGTCGACAATTACTTATCAGTAGATTACTGGTGCTGAAATAACCATTGTGAGAAAGTATGAGCACCTCACTGGCTGATGCTACTCTTGCTAACCAGGAATCTTTAGTCCTTTGGTTTCAACAATAATATCTGGTGACGCACATTCATTATCCATCTCCACTGTAGAGTAGGGCATTTTCTGGGCTATAGAAATATTCCTTGCACTGTCAGAGTAGTTTATGGCTCTGTGAGATAGAATTATAGAAACCTGTGATCAGAAGGAGTTCAAATCCTGTGGTTGCTCGATTGATATCAGTATTTGGCCCTTGAACAAGACCCCTGACTCCAATTGCTCCTTGAACACTTTCTGGCCCTTTTCTCAGATCCTCTCATGGATGAAAGCATGTGATGTCAATCTATTTTCATCCATTTTTCCACCTAACTCACATATCCTCATGTGATTTGTGTTGCGTAACTCTCAACTGTCTGTAAGCACATTCTCGCATTTAGGTCCCCTCTCACACTCAACACTCCTTGGCATCCAGTTTTATTCACTTGCAAAATTTAGTTCATACACTGGTTCCAGTTACCTCTCTACATAGTGTTAGTCATGCCGTCTCTTTGTTACATTTGCATTTTAAATGTAGGGAACACAGAGTCAGGTTTAGAACTACTGTAATTTCAAAATCCTGCTACTCAGCTATAAGGCACTGCATGGGCAAGTATCACCATATTTAAGAAAAAAATGTTGAATATTTATAAGCTACACTGTTCATTAATCTCAGACCTTCTTGTAATACCAAAAGTAAAAATAAAACTACTGATGGTGGTACAGTATTCTGCTACAGGGCCCTCACATTGTGGAATATCTTGCCAGCAGTTGTATAGGAGGCCCCTGTAGTCTCAGTCCTCAAATCAATGTACAACAAATAATGCATTGATGCTGCTCTGTATGTTGCACTTTGTCTTGATACTGTTTTTATAGCTCCATTGTCATTATATTGATGTCCTGGTATGTTCCTCCCTCTCCTGCACTTTCTCACAGGTGTCCTCTCATACTCAGCACTTCGTAGGATCCGCTTTCTTTAACTGGTAAAATATATGACATACAGTACACCCAGACTGCTGGTTTCAGTTCCATTTCTATGTAGTGTTAGTCATACCCCCCCCCCCCCCCACACACACACACTAAACATCAAATTCAGACAATTACCGAGAAGATGTTGAGTAACTTGGCATGTTTAGTACTTAGCCAAAGCTTCATTCCAGGTCTGACTATCGAAAATGCCCATTCATCAAAACTATGTAATGGACTGAGGTGCTGTTTTAACATGGCATAAAACACTGTTATCCAGAAACCACTGAAACGCTGCATTAGTGTCTCACTGGAGACCAGGAACGCAAAACCAATGTCAGCTTTTGGATTCTAGCAATAGTGGTTGGGTTCTGTACCTTTCAGATGTCCTTACATTCAGAATGTAAATCAATGATCAAACACAACAGAAATGGCCCATCGTAATGCGTACGCAGGTGCACTGACTGGTTTTTGTGGTGTACCGTTCAATGCCTCAGATGTCTGTTTAGTTTCATTGTTTTTGCCTGGCTAACAAATTTAGCTTCTCGCCAATAGTTTAATTCCTGTGACTCCTAATTAAGTGCTATGCAGTTGTGTTAGGGCTGCTTCTCTGTATCATGGTGGAACTAAAGCTCTGGAAACCCAAGTCCATCCCGCCAGCTGATGTCAGTAGTGAAAAGGTTTAAGATCATCAGACTGCATAGTGTTGGGCCAACTTTGTAATGCATGTTGACAAAATTCATATGACAGTGTCTGTACTAGTTACTGTCCAGGAATTACTGGTGTAGCATTTAGGAAGATAACCAACATCATTACTTCCAGAGGCCTAGGTATTGCCATTGGGCTTAATGATAATGGAATACGACTGAGAGCATTTGCACTGAGAATGTCAATGCCAACGAAAGACTTGAAAGTAAGCTGACAAAATCACTGCCCATCAGTAGATTCTATTCGAGAAAATTGGTGGAATAGCCTTGAATTTACGCCAGAAACTTGACTCCATTGTGCAAAATCCAGAGGCCTCCTGTGATTTCATTTCCTCAGCTTTGTAGATCATCTGTGCAGCTGCCAGATGTTCTCTGATGAAGGAGGCAAAATGGCTGAAGCTGTGAGAGAAGAGGAAGAGGCCAGTTATTGCTTCTCAGTATCTTAGCAGCTTTGATACAATGTGAAAGTAGATGACCAGCCTAACTTAAGCAGAGTGAAAGTAAACATAAGTAATGCATTTAAATTTATGGCATTGATTCAATTCCTATGTATATCTAGGTAATCATCATATGACCTTATAATGAAACTGGAGTGTCATGCTGTTAGCAGACAGTTGCAATCTACTTTTGGCCTTGTTTATTAATTGCAGTGACAGCAATCCTTTATGTCACATGCACAAACATACAGTACACTATATAGGTGTGTAGTGAAATGTTTTTTTCCCCCATGCTGTCGCTTATGCTCAAAAACAATATGAAAAGATGTCAAACCAAAGATGCCTCAACTAGGTCCAGAAACCGTCCTACCTGCTCCAACCAAATTGATACTAGATATTTGCCCTGTTCTATTGCTTTCAGTAAATACAAGTCAAATCTTTTTCTTGAATTGTTCTCAAAACTTACCCATCACAACTTGTTTGAGTTTTCCTTTGTCCCTGGGTTAGCATTTTGTCTAGTAGTTCCCTGATCTCTCACCTCTCAACCTAGAGTATACGTTTTGCATTTGAACCTTTGCTTGCTGTATAACACTGATTGTGAATTAGGGCTTTAGTCACCGCTTTACTTCATGATTATATGTAACACAGTCCTGGCCATCTTTTAGAGCCCTCTTGTTTCCTCTGGCCATAAACAGAAAAAAGACACCTAAGAATTACAAAGTGGCTTAGATGGATCATTCATCCTAGAAGTTAAGTGTGACTGATGATTGTTTTGAAAATATAATGAATTAACAAACCAATGTTTTTTTTTTTTCATATTGCGTTTGGTATGTTTATTTTTATTGTTACATTTTTTGTACAGCACTTTGTGACTTGTCTGCGAAAAGTGCTTTTAAATAAATTTTACTTACTTACTTAATATGTATGTAATAAACATTCATTAACCTAATAAATATACTTAATTATGATTATTCTTCCTTAAAATAGATACTAAAGTATTGCATGAAACAGACAGCTTCAGTTTACTTTTGGATTGTTTATTAATTGCAGTGTTAACAGCAATTATTTAAGTTTTTTTGTCACATACAAACAAACACTATATATTTGTGTAGTGAAATGTTTTTCCATCTGTTCGCTGGATAAAAATAAATCATTCTTATAATGTTATAAGTATTGTGTAATGTGCATGGTCCATTGAAATTGCTTGAGAAATTTATTAGCCATATTACTGTTTATACTTTTGGCAAATAACTGAAATTAATACAGAAATTGTAATCATACTTACAGTACCTCATTATTTTAATTTCTTTTTTTTTAATTCAACAATAATTATGCATACTACACAGTACAAACAATATTCCCTTGAAATACACTGTTTTATTATGTTTTGTATAATTAGCATTTTAGGAAAAAGAAAGACATGCACATAATTTTGACAATAATTTTGACAGGAGAATATATTTCTGAATGTAAAATATAATTAACATAAATTAAATCAAAACATACTTAAAAAAACCAAATTTTTTTTTTTTAGATTTTTTTATTTGTCAATATTACATTCCATCCTTCTGTCCTTCTGTTCTTTCTATCATTTCCTCATCCAGGTTAAGGTCAGATCAAGCCTAGTACCTATCCCAGGAAGTATCTCATAAATATGCAAATGCATATGTTCCAAAAATTTGAAGTTGATGACATTTGCAACATGTTCATGTATAATTTATTACACAATATGTAATATATTAAGATGTCAAATACAATATTATTACATCATCCTTCCTACACAGGGTCTTTTTCTGAGATTTCTACCTATTCTGACATAATAACATATAAGCGGTAAAAACTGAGGATAATAACAAGGAAATTTTTAATAGTAAAGAACACCAACTTTCTGTGGAACACTTTGTGATTGATCATGAGCAGCAGTCTAACCACAAGGAAGGGACCATCGTGGGCTAACACACTTTCAGTTATGCCCCAGATGTCATTGAAGTGTCTTCTAAAGCGGGACATGCTTTGATCTTCAGTAGCGTCTGCTGAACCAGGGATCACCACTAAACATAGACATTACAAGCACACACACACACACACACACAGACACAGACAAACATAAATACACACCATTAATATTTTCAGTGAAAGTGATGCCTATTGTTTCTTGACAACACTGCCTTAACAAAAACGGAATTAAGTTGTTTGTTCAGTTCTCCAAATTTAACATATACACATATTTTATTGAAGAAAAATATGTAGGGTAGAAGAGTGTTGTCATATGGGCATTTGATTCTGTGGATTCTAATGTTTTTGTTATAATTTATTAGAGAAGGCATTGAGATTTGGGGGCAATTTTATCCCATAAGAATTTGATATAGTTTTATAATTAAGTATGCCTCATTCAAAGAATCTGAAGTCATATCTGTGTTTTAAATGTTATTAAGATAAATTTAAAATATTTAATTAAAGACAATTTCAATATGCTTGAGACTTACCTGCCACATGGAAAGGAAATTGTAACATACTCCAAGTCCACACACCAAGTATTACGTACACAAACTCGGGCTTACTTTCCCTGTCAAAAACAAATTTAAGAGAGTGCTGATTGGCCAGAGGTAAGGTTGCTGTAGAAAACTATAGGAGCACAACAGAGTTCATTGTCTTTTGGCGATTCCTATTTTCTTTGAAATTTAAAAATATTTATCAGTAAACTTGGTTTACCATACAATAAAGGGTACTTATACAATAGGGGCTCACATAAGATACATATTTGTCCATTTAGCAATTTATACAAGCATATCCATCTCCTTATTAATTAAACTGAGATCCATCCTAAGAGATACAAGAGGTCCCTTCATGGGAAACTGCAACTTCTCTGTCATAAATATAGTAATATAAAAGCAAATTAGTAACATTGTTTTAATACTCATATCAGTCTAACGTAGAATTACTTAAAAAGCTCAGTATGAGAATTGAGAACATGTGAATAACAGGCTGATCATCATACTTTGATTTAGGAGGTTCTTTTATATCTTTCATAAACTTGCAAATAATTTTGTGTTGAGATTGACAGTTACTTAGGATGTTACTCACTTCACATCTGACAGTGTCTCACTTGTAAACTCCAGTATGTCTGCAGCTATACCAACGAAAATGAGCAGGAGCTGTGAAAGCCCGTCTCTGGTGACACTGCCTCCTTTAGGCAGCAGCCACTTTCCCACAATCAGGAGGATGAGCAGGATTTGGTGAAGAGCAAGAATCCAGTCATTGACACACACTTTAGACAGAAGTCCATCCAGTTCCTGCAACCAGCATGAGAAAGAGAACAAAGGTTTCAATATTAATTGATCTTTACGGCTTTATTTTCATCTAAATATACCTATGTTGAATTCTTAGTGAAATTAAAATTAGCTGACAATTACTAAAAGAAAATGTAGTAACAACGCAGTATTTCCCAAACTTCCTCTCAATTTCTACACTAATCACACTAGACATCCTCAAGATTCTATTTTTGTTACCGGGTTTCACATGAGTATTGAAGCAAATAGGTTTCGATTTTGGTCTAGCTGTCATCTACATAAACACTTCCTCTTACCAGACCCGTTGAGAGGTATCATATGCGTTGTTTGTATTGTATGCATTGTCTCCAGTCTCTTCAGCCTGTTTCAGCTTCCTGACCATGACTTTGGTCTGCCCTAGTATTTTAGGATTTCCTGGATTTGACCCTTTCTTGACAGAGATTATGGATTTCAAACTGTGTTTTGGTTTTCTGATTAAGTGCCTGTTGACTTTAATGCCTTTATAATTCAGTTCAGTATCTGTGTATGTCCTGCAGTAGGCTGGCATCCTGTCCACTATGCATGCAAGCCATGTGACCTAAGATACCTGAGAGAGGTTTCAGGCACCTGCAACCCTGACCAAGATAAGCAGTTAGAAGATGGATGGATGGATGGATAACAACTTACAAATAAAGCAAAACTGGACACCAAATACAACTCCTCTTTATATGTGTCATGATTGTTCGAATAAAATCGATTACTCAGCAAAATGGCAGAAGAAAGACGGTGCATAGAGGATGTGGATCCAAATACAGAATGGAAGCATCATGTGTGTGTATAAGCACTTCACATTAATAGAAAATGAAAATGCAGTCGTCTATCAGAATTGCAAAGCATAACTTTCGTATCAGTACATCAGGACTGCAATGCAAATACATGTTAAAAGGCGACACTTTGGTTTGAAGGACTCGTCCAATAATGCAAAGTTAGCCCTAGCCTACTGTCTATACTTGAGAAACTCTCACATCCCTGCTCTTCAGAAACTAAAGAAATTATGGATTTGATCAACTGGTCTCTCAACGCAATTGACACCATCTTCTCGATGAGAAGCCCAGGTTCGGGTGAACCTGACTGTCCTGCAGGAACGTATGCAGCTGGCTACACGATGGACGGACGGGAGAAGTGGAGGGTCGTGTGTCTGGCAGTTCTGTCCGTGGAGGACATCGAAGATATTTACCTATTCGGAACCATGATTACAGGTCTTATGCTGATTGGATTAGGCATTGCCCTGGTTTATCGGAAATTGAAGGTAACGGTGACAGCCGCTCACAGCCCAACTAGGCTGGCCGGGATGATTGACGGACTTGGCAGAGCTGTTGGCGCTCAGACTATGGCTATAGATCGCAAACTGGATAACATCACTGTGTCTAATCACCGCAGATTTGATAACATCACGGAGAAGCTCACGGCTCTGCAAAGGATTTTGGATGGCGGAGACCAGCATGGACATTAGAGGAGCTGCGAAATTACAGCTTCTTGCCCGAAAACCCAAACATCCCCATTCTATCTGCTTTTAGCTCCCCCCTAATCAGCACGGGCCTTGGCCAAGGCCGCTGCTGAATTCAACAACTCCCCCTGAAGAACAAGGCAGTGAGACTCTCTTGCATTCCTCTCCCCCAACCACAAGGACACCCTACCCCCATCCCACGCCTTCGCCGCTTCACACCCCCAGCGTGAACAGGCGGGTCTGTGAACAGCGCCTCTGGCTGCAGGACCGGATGGCTGTTTGTCTATGCTGGACTACCTCCATCTCCCCATTCCCCTTCCCTATTGCAAGTCTCGACTTTAATGTTGTATGGTGTGGTGCTTATATGTGCTTATGTTGCTGAGGTGTTTTTTTTCTGTTCCTACATTGTACTCCCTACTGGAGTACAGTCTGGGGGCTGTTTTTTTAAATTTTATTCTCCTCCTCTCTCCTCATGTAATTCTGTTTTCTCTGTTCTTCCTATATCCCCCTGTCTTCCTGACCTGTCTACCCCCTATAATGTGATGTTTGTATATGTATGGTCAGGTTGATGGCCAGTTTTTCGCTGGTACAGTACTTGTGACTAGTGACATGGTGTATCGCAACAGCAATAAAGGGTTTCATCATCATCATATGTGCTATTTAACCTCTGGGAGCAACTTAGCCTGTCTTTGACATCAATTTGACTTAATTATTTTGCTTAATTTACTCTCTATGATTCCTATATGTCAAAATATTTGCTGCTAACACGAAAGCCAGCCACGTTGCTTAGCTTATTTTACATAATACAGTACACATAACCAATTACTGTTTATTAGGCCTATTTTTTGTGAACATACTTTGTATTAGAGCTGAACGATACTGAGAATTGTTCATATTGCGATATTTCAAGTTATTGCGATAATTTAGCAGTAGAAAATTAACTATATAGCCAAACGAAACTTATTAGGCCTATCTAACAACAGTCTGGCAAATAAGTTAGCGGTACCTTGCGTTGTGCCAGCAGACACAAAGCAGAGCTGACAAAACACTCTGTTCAATATCGCATCTCTATCGAACACAAAATATTTCCACACAGAAAAGACATTTGTCTTCCGCATGACCAGTTCTCGTTTGCTTTTCCCCTCTTCATGTATTTTTAATTTCTCACAAATGTGCCTCAAGATCTATGAGTGAGTCCAACAGCAGCAAGGACGTGAATGATTATGGCTGTCTCAGAGAGTGCATGCAGAGGTCATGCAAAAACAGTGGTGGGAAACTTTAGTTCTTTTTTAACATATACTACATAATGTTGCATAGGAACCATTAAAATTGCGAAGCTTGCAAAATATTGTTTCTTAAGATTGAGTAAAAATGTTTTAGTGCAATTTATTGATGGTTTGAACGCAGCAGACTATTTCAATGCGCAAGTGCATGTGCATGAAACGCCACGTCGATATTAACACGCACATCCTGTAAACTGCAGACATCCACTGCACACTGCCGCTTTGTGTTTGTGGAGTTTCCACGTGTGTATACAGTGCTTTGGCAGTGGATCCTCCAGTTTCCTTCCACTGTCTAAAAACATGCAACTTAAGTAAACTGGAGTGCCAAATTTTTGCATATGTGCGACTGAGTGTACAACTGGGGTGGGCAATCTTATTCGCAAAGAGCCAGTGTGTATGCAGGTTTTTGGGGTAACCTTTAGGTCAGCTGATCGAATCCAGCTATGAGGAATCTTCAGCCAAGCAGTCCTGTAACTAGTAATCTAATTAAGGAGTTGCAGCGAAAACCTGCAAACACACTGGCCCTTTCTGGATAAGATTGTCCACCCCTGGTCTAGACCAATTACAATGCCTATATTATGCATCCATCCATTTTCTGAAACCGCTTGTCTTATTCAAAGTTGTGGGGGGGGGGGGTCAGGAATCCATCTTGAGGCTACAGGCACAAGACAGGGAACAACCCAGGATGGGGCACCAACCCATCACAGGACTCACTCACGCATGCAATTTGGCAACTCCATAACCTCAGCATGCTTTTGGACTGTGGGACAGAAACAGAGCACCCAGAGGAAACCACATGACAGCAAACATTTGGAACAGAAAGCTGAACCTAGGTCCCAGGTGATAGTACCAACCACTGCACCACTGTCCAATCTCTATGTTTTATTGTATCATTGTATTAATTTTACAAATGATTACTAGATGGATTGTCAGATTAATCGGTAGATCACTCGATTATTGTCACAATCGATAGTGACAGCCCTACTTCTCTTCATTACTTACCCTGATTTTCTCATTGTTTCTGGTCTTATTTAAAATGCTCCTTACATTTTCTGTTAAATTCAGGTTGCCACACTAGGGGAATTAAAACGGAAAAAAACGTTAGCTTGTGGTCAAATATATCATCAAATATAGAAATTTAAACGGATAACTGAAAGTTACTTAAATTAACAAAACAATAACATTTATTTAGATACAGTATGTTGCCTATATGTACAAAAAAAAAAACTTACCGTTTCCCTGTGCATGATAAGCAGTCGGAATTAATGGGTGGATTTATTTTTTTACTGCCTAGGCTTATATTTTACGCACAGTCCCAAAACAGGGGCCCTTTTTTTAATTTTACTTTATTTTATTTTATGAGAAACACCAACCTGTGGATAATTTAATTCATTTTCTTGATGGTACAGTTCCAAAATCCATATGGAGGGTATGATGCTGATGAGGAACAGCAAGATGGCTGGCGAGAACCTATTTTAAATATACAATTTAAAAATGTATAGTATGTTTAGTATAACTATAAATTAATTGCACAACGCAAGGTACCGCTAACTTATAAACTATAATTAATCTCACATGAAAACGTATGTCCTGTTTAAAGCAATTTTCCCCTCAAATCTTACTAAAAACCAAGCAATCAGTTGTCAGTTATGATTTCGAAAATAAATGACTAAGAAGAAATTCAAATGACGAGAAACCAAACCTCAGGCTATAATTTCAACTTACCACTTGCAGTCCTCGCCTTTTCGTAATTTAAAAGTTAAGAACATTTCCAAAATGAGAGGTATGAACAGAAGAGTCAGCAACCAATAACGACTATCTTTTGTAACCCGGATAACTAACGAGACCCCCAAAAAGGCTACAATGATGAACAAACATCGGGTAATAATCGCGCATATTAACTTTAATAAAGCCATTGTCCTCCCCTTAAACTTTGAAACTTATTCGTGAAGGGAGCCAACACTGTTATCTCTGTTAAAGTACTGTACAACTCCGGATGCAGAGGATCTCAGTGTAGGAGGGTTACCACCCCGCTACTTTCGAAATGACTTTACTCTGCCAGTCGGTGACGGCGTGGCTGCTTCCTTCTGCTGTTTGCGCCACTGGGCGTTTCTCTTTCGGCACCTGCGCCCCGGCATCGTTCGGCTTCGTTCGTCTTCCTTTGAGCGGTGGACTGTGATCGAGCGGTATGACACGTGCTTAAACTGACTGCACGCGCGAAGGAAGATAACGCGCTTAGCAAAAGGCTGATTTATAGTCATGGGAATTAAATGTAAATACAATTAAGTTCTTACTTTCCCATAATGCATAAATAAGTCATACCTTCTGAAAGGCAAGGTCCTAGGTTATTTACAGGCTAAATTGTGTCAACTTCTACTATTCCATTTTGAGGTAGGCTACTGTAAATGCACGTTGAATTGCATGGCTTTATGCATATTTGGTTTATATGTACTGTACCAAGTCTGAGAGAACACATCTCAAGATTTTCGCATAATGCATAAATAAGTCTTACACATTCCAACAGGCAACGTTCTTGCCTATTCTGACAAACAGTTTGGTCAACTTTTACCGGGTAACTAACTGTTTACAGTTTAAACCCAAGTGCGGAGCAAAACAAAAGGTTTTAATGGACAATCGAGTTGAATGGTGAGTCGGACTTTCCAGGAGGGATAATAATTGTGGCAGGGATATTTTGGAAAAAAAATGTGTATTTTGTTCTAATTATTGTGCTTCAATATATAATGTAATATGTAACTTTATAAAGTAACTTTTTTCACAGCATTTTTCCAAGGGGCAATTGTATGTTAAGAGTTTTAGAAATGACTTGCCACATGTCACTCACATATATACGGGGGAAAATGCCACAAAAAATCTTATGGTTTAATTTAAAACTTGCCTGGAAAATGGTGACAGAAGCCCCAACGAGTGCTGGTACATGAACAGGACTTCATCTTGTATGTGGCCGCCAAGATGATCAGGCACTATGGGTAAATTCCTAGAAGAAACTTGCCACAATTAATGCATGAATATAAGTTTGATTTTACTTGACAAAGGTAAAGTAAAAGCTGACCAGATTTTGTCTGTATGTAGTCTGGTACCTTTCCTTTTAGAAAGTAGAAAACATTTTCTGAATTATGGGAAACATTCTGAGAAATGGCCTGTCAAACTTAACTCATATAACAAAAAATAACTTGGATTTCAAAGTGAATTTTCTTGAAAATGATAAAGTAAAAGTTGACCAAAGTTTGTCTGGAAATAGCCTTGGACCTTGCATTTCAGAAGGTATAAGGCTTCTTTATGCGTGGGAAAGTAGGAATTTCATTGTATTTAAGTACGTGTGACTAAAATGACCATTTTCGGATGCAAGATCTGATACCGTAATGCTATGCCTACGCGTGCAGCACACATTTAAGCGCGGATAGCGTGACCGCCGCTCGAGCGTCTTTGCTGTTGTATAACATTTACTGTAGAAGCATTTCGAAGTGAAGAGTGGCAGCTGCTGTTTTTCTTCTGCACGCTTCTACCTCCGTGTTTGCTGCTCTTATTTTTTGGTTTAGTTTCGTTATTGTATAATGATATTGGTATTTGTTATTGTGCCACTTTTGTTTGTGCCACGGATTTGCCAACTGTGTATTTGAACCTGATTTATGTGTTTAACTTATGTTTTGCGATTAGTTAAGCCTTAGTGGCTGTGCTCAAATTTATCTTCACTGTTAGCTGGTCTGAGTTCTGGTAAATAGCTTTTTGATATGTGTGTGTGTGTGTGTTTGTGTGTGTGTGTGTGTGATCCAGGTATACATTACATTGGGAGGACCATTATTTTGACATTATGGGGAAATTCAATTTTATAAAAATCTGTGACTTCAATCAAAAAACTAAAAACACCAACAGTGTCAGGGATCCGGGCGGATTTGGTGAATGGGCGAGGCATGGTGCAGGCATAAATGGTGGCGGTGGGACGACCCACTTGCAGCTTGCAGGGAAAACAAGGCTTTATTAACAAACTGAAAACACGAGGAACACTACAAAAATAAAAGGACCACGAGGGGACAAAAGCAAAAGGGATAAACAAAGACTAACTACGAACAGAACAGGGCAGGGCAGGGCAGGGCAACAAAATAACAGAACATTCAATACCAGCAACAACATCAAACAATCACAACAAACCACTGGGGAACTGAACAGAGGCAGGGACCTAAATACTGAGGGGTAACAAGATTAACAAAAGGCAGGTGAGATCAATCCACAAGGGTTGGGAAAACAGGTCACAGGTGAAACTAATACTTAACTCAAAGGAACTAAACAGGGAAACTATCCAAGAAACAGGGAAAACAAAACTGGGGGGTATTCCATGAAAGTAGCTAAAAAAAGGCAGACTTTCCCGAAAAAGTCAGACTCAACCTACCTCCATCTCTAAACTTAGCCTCACGTTGTTACACAAACGCAGTTCAGTTTTAATTAATCAAGGTTCATTCAAGACAGACTTGCACACCCGTGATATTTAAGAAGCCCAAATACAGTGGTACCTCAGTTCTCGAACTCATTAGAACTCAAATTTCTTAAAAGTGGAACCAACCAGATCGAAAAAAAAATTACCTAGACCTCGATCTGAATCTCAGAAGTCAAAGACCTAAGATAACTTGTACGCGGGGAAATGAGTCACGCCACACGTCTCTCAGCGGAAACAAAGGGTAACGCTTCAGTCTCAGCCTCGCATTCGCTGTGACAGCACCGTGCATGTTTACACTAACTGAATACATATATTTAGACAGTAAAAATACATTTAGACAATGATAGACAGTAACCATAATTATTATTATATAATAAAATACATTTAAAAATAAAGATTCTTATTCATTATTTTAATATTAATAATAAACCATTAATACGTTTAATTATAATAATATTGTTGTGCTGAGCAGGGACGGAACGGAGATAAAGGCGCAGACGTCAGGGTATCGGAACGGGGTAAGGCAGGCAAAACGCAGATGGACAACACAATGACCGGATTGGGGAAACTGAAACGCGGACGAAATACAGAGGGCTAATGAAAACAACCGGAAACAGCTGATAACATGGGGATTCCACACGGGGTTAACGAGGGGGCGTGGCACACGGAAGGAGCGGACGATCGGGGCAGGACACATTGTTTGGATACATTTATTTTCTTACTTTACAAATTACTGTTTTGATAAATGTGCTTAGATGTGTTTAGTACAGTATATGCTCTTCTTGTTTTATCCGGTTCATTTTGTGTTTAAATGCTAAAAAAAACATATTTAGGTGTAATTTTTTGTGGCCGGGAACCAGTTAATTGGTTTTCCATTATTTCTTATGGGGAAAATTCGATCAGAACTCGAACTTTTTAGGATTCGATCCGGAGTTCTGAACGGATTAAATTCGAGTTCTGGGGTACCACTGTACATGGATGAACGATAGATCGACCAATGAGTCGGAAAGCCTGTAAAACGAGAGCGGTGTTTCTTTCCGCCGAAGAATAAACGCTGCTGATGGAGCTGTATGAAAAATACAAAGATGTAATCGTAAGAAAAGGCAATAGCCTATATACTGTGGTCATAAACAAATCGAGGGAGTTGGCTTGGCAATGAATTGCAGACAGACTAAATGCATAAGTTACGTAAATGTTACAGATGCTTAGTACGGTGGCATGGTGGTACAGTGTTTTATGCTCTCAACTTATAATATGAAAGTTGCTGTTTCGATCCCCATAGCCAACGGGAACCTTCTTGGTTGATTTCACCTGTCCTTATTCCTGTATAATATTATTTGATCTCCGTAAAATACTTCAAATCACATCCGTGTGAAATGTTCTGCACAAATAACCGTATGTTTTCTTTGCTATTTTAGTAGTAAACTTTCAAAGTACACAATGACTAAAAATATAAAGATATCTTCCTGTTCATATTATTTTAGCGGATTTTTTTTTCCAATTACAGTCATTGCATTTCATGTGTCACCTTTGTAATATGTGTTCGCTTTCATTTTACAGTAAAATACCGTTATAACGGACTTCAAGGGACCTGGCAACAGTCTGTTACATCCAGAGTTGTTGTATGCCCAGAACACAACTACAGGACACCATATACTCATGCTACACCTCAGCAGACACACTTGTGGTATAGATTATTATATTGTACATGTAGTAATCCAACTTCACCTGACCAGATACAGTACGTGACTATTAATAATCCCGACTACAGTACGTACTTATCTGTGCTGGATATCACCGGCACGCCACACGCCTTGTAGGCGGAATCGCATGTCCGTTATAGCCGAACAGAACTACAACTAAAAGCGGCCCTTGGGACCAAATTGCATGCTTGTCCATCATAAGCGAAATTCCATTATATGCGAGTCCGCTATATCTGATACTTTTTCTGCATGTTCGTAAAGGCCCACAACAGGTGTTCCAGCGGACCTCGTCCGTTATAGACGATATTCCGTTATAAGCGATCGAGTCCACTATAACGGGATTTCACTGTAATTATTTTGGAATTAATTGGAATGCTAAGACGTGATTTTATAGGTTTTATTATATTGATTATGTAGCAATTCTCCATATTATGGAAGTATCACGCAGAGCTTTACTTCAGAAAAGATGGTTTTTATTCTCAGTTTTCTCGTCTTGCTTTTACTCACAGCACTGACTACAGGGTTACATTTTTTTATATACGTATATACAAGACTCATTCTCCCGCTAACTGAAACATAATCATGTCATTTTGGTACACCTTACAGATTAACAAAAATTCAATCAGATAATGTAAAATTAAATGTCAGAAGGTGAGGACACATAATTCAACAGATCACATGGCATTATTAATGATTAATAGTAAGATCGCGGAATTTCGTCCGACGGAACGATCTTTTGGGAATCTGTTCCCACACGTCGGAAGTTCTTTGAGACAACGCTAAACTAAGCGTTCGTAGGTATAAATTACCATGGTAATTCAGCGGGGATTCATTTTAGCCACGTTGATGGAACGGAACTCTCACTTAAGTAAGACTGACTTGTTGAAATA